CGCGATGCGGCGGCTGCCGGGGTGCTCCCAGCCGGGTCCCTTCCACAGGCTGTGGGTATTGAGGGGGTTGGATGGAGCTCGTCAAGGCTGGCTGGCCATTTCTGAGCAGAGAGAAGGGTGTTTTGGGTTTGGGTTATTTTTTTTTGGTGGTGGTTTTTTTGTTGTTGTTTTTTTCAGTGTTTTGTGGTTAGTTTTTTTGTTTGTTGTTTTGTTTTATTTGTTGTTTCTTTTTTAATGAGAAAGTGTAGAAATCTCTTGCAAGCTAAAAACCTAAAGGCACTGAAAGGTTTAGTTGGGGGAGGGGGGGACACAACTACCATGGACTGTACCCATCACAAACTGATTTTAATAACACATCGAGTCTGGCTCAGCATCCAAGCAGTCTTTGGCACAGGAGAGCCCAGACTCCTTCATTTGCCTTTCCTTAGGACTGAAGTTGTTATTATTCCTTGCACAATTAGGAATCTCGAGGTGGAAATGGAATCCTTCCTACGAGGCTATTTTAAATCAATTTGTTTTTTGCAGTGCTCTCATTTCTCTCCAGGGATATTCAGGAGAACCTTTGGTTAGTGCTAATTGCTGAGCACCACAGGACCATTAGAATATTAATTATAATTTTTAAATAATGAAGATCAAGTCTATGCAGGTGTAGGTGGATACTCAGACACAGATAGGCAATCTCTGCAGTGGTATTTCTTCCCCTCTGTAAAGCAATATACTGGGGAAAGAAGTTTAGTGAAACTTACGCAAAGGTGATAGAAGATAGAAAATTCCTCTTATTTTTCCTAAAAAGAGGAATTTTTGCCTGGGTTGAAATGTGCCAGTGCAACTCTGTGGTATAAAGGTCTGGGAAGGGGGGTGCGTAAATCACACAGGCCCATTTGTAAGATTTATCCCAATGTGAGTTCAAAATGCCAAATTTGGGCTTTTTTAGGGCAAGTTTGGCAAATGATTTAATTACCCTGAAGGGAAGGATTAGGCCACTTCTGTCGAAGCCGTGAACTTGCTCCAGGCATTGCCTGGGATGAGGTTTACAGTGAATTCCCGACTTAATGAGGCATGAAAAGGACCCGCTGCAAACTCCTCTTTCAGGAGACTTCCCTGTCAGAGCCAAAAAATGCTTGAAATCTCTCCCAAAAGTATCTCGGATGGGCAGTTCACCCCTTCCCCAGCCAGAGAGGAGCAGCAATCGAGGGTGGCATGAGAGCTCGGCCGCATCCAGCCTGCTCCCTCCTGGATGTTTCCAGGCTGGGAATGCAGAGCTGGATCCTGGTTTGTCATCCCCACCTCCTGCAATTTTCCTTTTCATGAAAAAAAAATCAGCGGGGTTTTGCTTTTTGCTGTGGCACGGAGGAGGCTGATGTGGTTGGGAGTAAATCGGGGTGAGGGACTGTGGGCGCTTTGCATTTTGCTTGGGCTAAGTGGGAATCAAGGTTCCCTGAACAGGCACTGTTTGAACACAGCAGCAACATCTGGGAAGATCAAAGCCTGGAGCAGACTGGGTTGGAAAATGTCCTCTCCACTGCTGGTGGGGGAGAGATTGTGAACCAGATCTTAAGCTTTCCCATAGGGATGCTAAGAGATTTGCCCTGTAGCATCTCAGCGGCATTTCCAGTGACTCATTGGCATTTGTTGCATCCTCAAGCAGCCCCTGACCTTCCCCATGCACTTAAGGACAAGGTGGCTGCTCCGTGTGGGGCGGCAGGCGATGGGGAGAGCCCAGCATCTCTGCTATGTCTGCCCTCAGAGGGCTGGGGCTGTGGGATGAAGGAACGGGGCCGTAGCACGGAGGGATGGGGCTGTAGGAAGGAGCGATGGGGCCTTTGGTAGAAGGGATGGGGCCTCAGAATGGAGGATGGGGCTGTAAGATGTGGGGATAAGGCTGAAGGAAGGAGGAACGGGGCTGTAGGATGGAAGGACAGGAGCAAAGGATGTGTCTGCAGTGTGCACAGGACCCTGCACCCCTACATCTTGCCAGTGGTTGCGTTTCTCACCTCGGCTCTGCCGGCGGGGAAGGTTGGCCCAGGGCTTTGTTCCCCACACTGGGTTTTAAGCTGCCTCCTCCTCTCCAGCCTAATTTAATTGTCACCGGTCAGTCTGGGATTTGGGATGAAATCCACAGAATTAAGGGAGGTGAGATTGAGCTCAAGCACACGCAGATAAGTTTTACCTCCCCAAATGCCCCAAGAATATATTTTAAATTGTAAATAAACAAAGCAATGATAATAAAAATATCCCCATCATGGGCACCATATCAGCCCTATTTACAGCACAAAACCTTAATTGCAAATTTCTCTTTATTACTGAATACAAAAATGGAGAAGGCATCGTGTAGAATATAATATATTACAAATGCTCATGAATTTTTATAAAGTAATAAAACTCAATACAGTGGATAGCAGCCCTCAATCTATGCCTTTATTAGATGGGATTAATTATTTTTCTCCTCCCCACATGCACCCACGTACATATCCTTATCCCTGTAACAGTAACAACAATTTATTTTTTAACAACCCCTATTTTGCTCTCTTCATATTTCTTTCCATCATTTTTTTAAGGGAAAGAAAAAAAGGGAAAGAGGCAAAATCCTGGGAAACAGATGAGGCTTTATAGAGCGTTTCCCAAAGGAAATCGGACCCGATCCTGCTGCCTCTGTGTTTCTCTGATGGGAAGAAAGGGCTCAGCAGGCAGAGAGGGGCTACCCAAAGCTGGCTATCCCAAATGCAGCTGGGTATTTTGCATGGGCAAAGCATTTTACTCCCAATAGCTGTAAAATCAAGGATGCCTCAAAAAACTTCTCACCAAACCACCAACAAAGCACCAGCCAGCAAAAAAACCCACAACCTAACTGGGGCAAAAATCAGCAACACAGCGTGAGGAGCGAGTTTTTGTCCCTGAAGATCAGCAGCTTGTTGCTGCTGGGGAGGGTGTGCACGCAGGGGCTGCTCAAACAAAGGCAGAAAAATGTAATTTTAATGAGAATACATTTAAAGAAACCTTGATAGTGCAGTTCCAAAACCTGCAGAGGCCTTGTTTCTCATCAGCACAGGGCTCTGTGCTGA